TTTTTACATTCCGTAACTTGTATTACACAACTGTACTGTATTGAGTATTTCAGAATATCAAAATACTAATACAACATTCGTATCAAATGTTGGCATTAAATGAAAGGCAGATACTACCAGCTTCCTGTATCTTGAGCTTGCTCCAAGAAACAACCCTTTGAATATGTAAATCAATTTCTCGATCAATTCCTATCAAATATACGGTTGGAAAACTGAGCCAAGAACTCGGGATTGACAAATAAATCGAGAAACTCGCTATCTGGAACGAACATTTCCTTTCACCAATCTTCAAAGTTTAATTGCACTTTCCCATTGGTGGAGTGCATACTTGGAATGGGATTGTCTATGCAGTGTTCCTGCATATGCATCAGAGTATAAGTAACCACAGACAGATGTGTCCCACTGGTATGTTGAGAGGATTGCTGAAATAAGGTAGTTGTGATTGAAGAAATTCGAAGAAGCAGATAAGGACTTAGATTATTCAAGATACGGAATACAGTTTATTCCAGAATCACCGGATAATAAGGAAATCCCACCTAATGGAATTTGTATGCATTATTCGTAGTTGGATTTGAAATCGCATACTATTCACACATGTTTTTGTGATGGCTATGTTTCTTCTTCCTCTTCCATTGTAAAAGTCGATGATAATACTGGTCCAACATTCTCTAGAGCATACTCATTGAGCTATCACAAAAATGAGGTATTTGTTGTAACACCCACGTAACGCACGAAAGACTTTTGAGCTTATATGTCGCATTTCTGCTTCGATAATGCTGAATGTATTCGATAATTTTTTATCCAATACTTCTAAAAGAGGCAAATGGATGATATCAAATTGTATAAAGTGATAACGATAATAATCCATTCCAAGATTCGAATGGCCTGATTTCGACATCCGAATGCAGCTATTGAATTTGTTGACTTTCCTCAAAGTGAAATACCTTTGAAAAATATTGGATGAAATTCACATTAGCGTTTGTAACGTGTTCAATTTCTCTCAGTGCGAACAAGAAACTATGGAGAGTTTTCGAAATAGTTGCATGCATCTCGTAGGTGGCTTACGTTGACAGGAGTAATTCATATACACAATGAAAAGAGAAGGCCCCAGTATTGAACTGTGGGGTACACCATATTCAAATTAGTGTATCCATTTGAAAGCGGTTTGACGAAAAATCTGTTGGAGATTTGAGATGAACCCCTCATGCTATCATAACTAAGTTTTTTAATAATGATGAAGTGTGAAATATAGTCGAAGGAGTCAGTCAACAATGTAGACAATGTAGTTGTGGATTTTTTAGTCTGAAATCCATGCGGAACATACTAAAGTATATATTTTTAGGTATATTTTTCCATTAACTTCATTTCCACAAGTTTTATGGCTTTTGAAATAATGGTATGACATTTAATAATTCCAAAATATTGAAAATAATGCTGTTCGAGAAAATGAGAATTAAATGGTGAGAGTTTCTATATCAAGCGACTATTCACTTACATTTTCAATTATTATAATTAGAAACTAGATGATATACGGGCTCTAAAAAATGAATTTACAGGTGGGGAAAACTTTTTAACGCTAGAACAGATTGAGATTTTATAAACGAAGATTTTCTTTCAGATTTTGAACAATAAAAAATCCCAGCCTTGAATTGTGTTTGAACTGTTAATTTCCTAAAGAGTTCTTACTTTCCCAAATGCTCTAGAAATATTTTTTGATTTGCTATATATTCGTCATAGACAGGTTTCATTTGTTTCGGTAGTTCATCTCTTTATGTCTTCTACTTACATATATAAACGCACATATCATAATTTATCGGTACCACAAATATATTTTCACAAGCTAGCAAGTTTTTTTATTCTAAATGTATATTATTTTTTGCAGAATACCAGATTAGTAAGAATAACAAATTTTTGAGCCTTCCAAAGTAGTGCTCATCCCTAAAAGTAAAATTGGGACCGGCAATTATAATGAGTTTTGTTTTTGCAAGTTCGTGACGACAGATATTTATGGCAGAAGAGATATCTCTCGACAATTTCGTGACGAATTTTCGTTTTATTCGCCCAGAGTTCCTCGTTGGTTATAATCGAAACACCTCTGGGAATGACGAGAGGGAGACAGTAATTTTCAAAACAAAAGCCCAGTACGATTTCGGCGAGGAGTTTCTTGAAATTTTAATTTCCATACTCGGTTCACAGCTATAAATATAGCTCCGTACCGGTGGGGATTAACTCTCCACCATGCTATTGAAAGTAAGACTATTAATCTTCCCTCTGATTCGAAATGAAAATTCATTATACATTCAAGTTTTCTATGAAGCGGCGCAATTATAAATGCAAATTTTCCGGCGCGAAATGGACATAGTCGAGACAGAGATGGAATATCCACAATTAATCTAAATTGGTTAAATCTTCCAGAGTTCTGATCCGCCGAAAGTTTCCTCTATAATTAGAAATATTTACAAGGATTTATATCCAAATGATGCTTTCAATGCAGCAAGAGTGAGAGGTATACCTCACGGATATGTTCTTAGCCCCCAGATTTTTCTGATCGAAAAAATCTAACGACACAAATCGGTATACTGCTTGATCAAACGTTGAATATACTGTAAGTCACTTTAAAGTGATATTGAGATTGTTAGACAGCCGTTTGGTTAACTTTACAAAGGACAAAAAGTAATAAGAAAGATTCTGATTCATGGAAAGGAAAGTTCTATCCGTACGACAACTATCTGTTATAGGTTTTCTTCGTACAAGAGCCTTGACATAGATGATGATTGTAAGTTCCAGACAGCAACTATTTGTGTTTCTTTTTCTGATCCTTCACGAAAAACTCTCATGGTGATTAAATTTTGTATTCTAGAAATCATCCGATAGTAATCATTCAGCTTACTTAATATATGAACTCGATTTCAAACATCGGTAGCACCAGGATTTCAATCTAATATTTGGTTTTCGTACACTAATTCTGTCGGGATTCATTAATTCATAATTGATATCAATCCAAAGAACGTGGAATGGAATGAGATGAATTAAAGGGGTGGAGAATGGTTTCCACCAAAACTAAACCTTCTAGTGGAGAAAGTTGGACAGAAAACCATTTTTCCACATAACCTGAAAAGTTAGAAATGAAATTTTGATTGACAATCTATATTTTCCCATCAGGATTATTATAATTTTCAGGTACCAGTTTTTGACGTTCAATTTGTAGCTTCGTGAAGTTGAGGAATTCTAGTTATATTGTTACAGGTTTCGAAATGAGAATTATTCCCATGATTGATTTTACATCGCCCATCCATTCAATAAATGATTATGGAAATATATGAATACAAACTGTTCATATCAAATATAATATTTGTACACATATGTTATTTTCCAGCACTAATCCATTGTTTACCGAACCTAAAAATTCACCGCGAACAAAATAGAACGCATTTAATCCAAAGCACTGAAACAGCAAACACGGACGATCACGTATTTAAAGGAATTTTCAATACCCAATCACGATGATGCCGCAAAATCGATAATTCAAACATTGACGTTCCATTGCATGACAATTCCTCATTAGAGATGGTGTGAATGCTCCATTATGTGAAACAGCACAATGTACGCAGTATTTCGATGTTATGTTCGGACGGTAACGAATCTCAGTCGTGGTGTGATGTTAGAATTTGTTTTTACAGTCATTCTAGATCCGGCTCGAAGGACCATTATATGATACGAGGGGTGTATGATACACTCATAATTGTGTCATTTACAATATCAGATCTCCTCAATTATTTAGGTAATTTCATAATATTTTTCTTTCAAACTGAATGGCGTCCATATCTGAAATATTTCCAGCCCATTCGACTGCTTTCCGATGTAAAACTGCCCTTTGCAACTGATAACAATTTTTGACCAGGAACAAGTGAATGATAGTGATTGTGTAGAAATCTTGGTTGGTCGTGGAAAAGAAAAGTTAATACTTGAAGGTATAAATAAGCCGAAGAATATTGTTGATATGCCATCACATTTTCATGGTAACGGTCGTATGTTCAAGAATGTCTGTTAATGTGAGACGTTAGTTCATATCTCTTGTAAGATTTCCTGCTAGTAAAAATGGTCCAACCAAATGTTAGTTTACACGTTTAGCTTCTCAGGATGTTGTGTGTGAAATTTGTGGACCTCGTCTGAGTTTTTCTCAGACCAATATCGACCGTTACAACCTGCTTAAAAAAACGAACCTTGACCTGCAAAACAGATTTGAAAAACCAATTCAAGTTATTTATAATTCTCACACTGAAAAAATTCTTTTTCATTATTTGAGTTACGTATTTTTGGATGAAATGCCTATCCTGAAGTTGTCCATTCCAATTGAAATTAATTTGTCTATACTGGTCCACAGTTGTATAAGAAATTAAGAACAACAACCTCTATGGCATTATTATACAAACAGCATTTATACAGAAAAGAACAAGGAAGTTTATAATATACGAAGACAATTCGATCGGCATAAAAACCAAATAGTTACCGAACTTTGGCAGTGTCTTTATATGGCATGGCCGGCGTGGTACAATGTTTTGTCTAACCATTATTTTTATGTGGGAGGTTTTATATGGTATTGTTATGTGAATCATTGCAAATATTTAGGAAAATGAATTCATAAATTCATCCACTCAAATTCAAGATGATGACCACCCTACTAACCAAATTATTATTATTTTTTTCTAAGAGATAAGTACAAGTCACTGATTTCAGAAACAAATTTTAGTGATAACAATAACGACAATTATGATTATAATTACAGAAAACGAGCCTCAGTTGAACGCAGCCTTGAGAATGACGAGACGATTCGATGTGGTTTCACAAAAAGACTTCTCTTCAAAAGATACCGTCCGGCGTTCCACCAGTCACTCCCACGCTTTCGTTCACGCCTTTCAATCAGACCAAATCGTATCTCCGACTGTTCGATATGTTGCTCGTGATTAATGGGATTGTTAAGGCAATAAAAAGATACTCACGCATATTTCCTTCTCCTCGCACATGGCTCCCCACACTTGGAAATTTGATTGAAGCAGTTCGCAATTCTCCCAACACTGTAACAAAGTAATTGATGGTTAGGATATTGCTGAATGAAAGGCATATAGAGAAAAAAGGTTTCTTTGTGAGATGGTGGAATATGATATAACTATTATTGAGTGTTAATAGTTTTCTTTATCATTTCATTCTCGAAGATGTCCACTAAAATTATTTGTTGATATTGAATGTGCCATCAAAATATAAGATGAAATTTTTGTAATTCAGAAAGTAACGAAATTTCGAAATTGAAGTCGAAATTTCTGTTTGAAATCGTAATTTCCAGTTTAAGTTGAAATCAAAGTCCAATTTAGAGTTTAAAGTCATAAATATCGAGTTTGAAATCAAACTTATGAGATCTGAAGTCGTAATTTGAAGGGTAAAGTCGATATTGAGAAATCAAAGTCGAAACTTCGAGACTAAAGTCGAGATTTTCAAGAAACAAGTATGAAAATACCTTTCTGCGCTTTCGTAGAAATGAAATAAAACATTTACATTTTTTTTTTCAGTCGTTCACGTGGTTTGTGCAAAAACCGTGAGTTTTAGTCAAAATTAAATTCAACAAAAAATCAGGTTTTGTTAATTTTACTAATATTTCTGCTTTATGAATCAATTTGAATTTTGTTAAAATCCAAAATTACCATTTGTTTCTTGGGATTATTATAAAAGAAATAATTCTCTTGTTATAATGTTGTCTAACTATTTTTCATGATTAGTAATAAAACAGTTGATTGTCGGTTGTCATGGTAGGCATAAATTTCAAACGAAGTATTTTCTGTTATGCGAATTGAATTAAATGCCGAATATTTTCGCATTTTATTTGGAATAGAGCAAATTCGGCTTCAACTGTGTTTATATTACTAATCAACCAAAAAATTTTTTAACTTAAGTTTTTTCTCTCCACGAAATGAGCTCTTTGAAAAGTTTTCACCATTAGGATAGTGGATTTTCGAAAAATTGCTGATAATACTTTTTGTTTCATTATGATTTAGTTGGGTTCCGACAAAAGTCTAAATTGTATAGAAACAGTGACTAAATTTGATGAATTGATAGATGTAGCCGTTACTACGTGGTAGGAAATCATAAGGAATATTACTGGAGTTCTTGAAAACCAGTTTCTTCTGCTTTGATTTCAGTCAGTGGTTTTGCAACGGCTACTTAGTTAGTTTTCGTTTGGCTCAAAAAGATTCTCTATAAAATCTCATAGAATACTTTCTCAAAACTAATAGACTGAGATTCACTTTGGAAGTTATTCATTGATTATGTGACATTAATAACATGAGCTAAACGCTCATAAGTTTTCCCATGCTCTTTATACATGACATAAAAAAACTACTGCATGACTTTAAATAAACTTATCAAGATAAAGAACACATTCGATTGCAATTAACATAAACACATGTGATGATGAGTGTCGCATATGCGATACTTTTTCCTTGTTGACAACAGAGAAGTGCCACTGTATCTCTATCGTGACTTTCGGAAGATATTAAATTTACTGCAGTTTGTGGAATAAACTTGGCCGCATATGTAAAGTATACTTCAGTAAACTCTCTGGCGATAAGAAAAGTGCCACTGGACTTCCTGGTAAACAAACTTTCCCGTACGAGTACTTTGAAGCCAGAGTAGTAAATTCTAACAAACAAAGTAAAACTAGCAAGTTCTTAAGTTTATTCTTCCCATGAAAGGTGGTTGTCGGATTGTAAATCACCAGAAATGTGTGTATAAATCTTAATCGGGAAAACAAACATTCGCTACTTTCAGCTGAACGGTTTGAATGCATTCTCTTCACCGTGATCGTTTTCGATAGAAGCATTTTTACAGACTTCATGAAGAATAGCAACGCCACAAATAAATCATTCCTTGCGATATGTACAGGCGATGCGATGGCAGAAACTGAAATTAAATGAAAGTGAAATTGCAGCACGTGGAAATATTACTGACAGGTAGTGTTTAGTCATCTCATAATATCCGTAATAATAGGTTGGGAACGTCTGGCTTTAAGGCCGAATGTACGCTATTCGAAATATGGCCTTCATTGAAACAACAGCCAGGATCAGGTGACTCATACTCCAGGCAAAATAGGAATATGAGATTATTTACAGCTTGAAACATAGTTATGAAATAAACTGCTCTTTTGAAACGATTGAAGCCATTATATTATTGTTTCATGTTGATAAATGGAAACCCAGGAAAAAATCGCGACATACATATGAACTAAGAAAAACTTCAATATTCTAAAACATCGGGATACTACTAATAGATTGTGGTTCCGTTGGTAATGAGCAATGAAATAATAACAAAGTTGTGGCAAAGCAGAACAGGTTGGGGTTTTGCAGCAAGATAAAACTACTGTAAAATTTATAATTTACCGAAGAAAACTTCTAGCAAACCTCAGATTAGTCTGAATTACATGCAATAAGGTTAGGTTAGGTCTAAAGTGAGTGGGTCTTTCGACCCTCCACCGCAACCCTCAAGGGTTTATTGTGGCTCATACCTATTCACACTCGGCCAAATAAACCCAGCTTCTTAACGAAGCCCATTAGTTTGTATGGTGAGTGGTCTTTCTGATCAGATGGTAAGAGAACGGCTCTGCCGAACTCTAAAAACCTGATTCGGTCCCGATCGGGGCAGGCACAAAGTAAGTGCTCTGCTGTTTCATCATTTTCCAAACAGAGTCGAAACACACTGTCTTCCGACAGTCCGAGTATTTGCATATGATGACTAAAATGACAGTGACCTGTAAGAAGGCCTGTTAGACATCCTAGGTCTTCCCTACTGTAGTCCAACAACTGTTTGGTATCAAGCTTCAAAGGGTGAATAAACGCCTTGGAGTGAGTCAATTCTGGAAGATTCTGCCAGAAGTCCATAAATCTGCTTACCGTCCAGGTGCCGTCCAGGTTTGGCAAAACCTAAAGCGATGCTAAATGAAAAGTTGTTGTCCGATGAAGCTGCTTGCAGCACACTCCTTTACAAGGGAATGAGCAGCCTAATTGTCCTCCAGGCCACTATGGGCAGAAATCCAGACCAGAGACAATCTGTTTAGTTTTTCTTTTGAGCAGAGTCGTTTTTGGCAATTTTCTACCAATTTAGAACGTTGTTGGGTAGAAGGCAAGAGATTGACTGTCCAAAAATATTTTTATTGACTTGTGTATGAGATTGGATTCTTACAAATCTCCCCGCACACAATTCAATAGCGTAAATTTCCGCTTGAAATACAGGCGCATAGTTTCCTAGGCAGTGACATCTCTGTCCTGGGCCTGCGACTGAAAACACCTGCACCAGAACCGGAAGGTGATTTTTGATCGATCTGTGAACCAACAACTATCTGCTCTTAATATGTCCTTCTTCCTACAAGCAATAAGACTCGAAAAACATATTACGCTTCACAGTCAGAAGTTACTAGTTTATGAAACTCTTTGTGATGACTGAAAACATAACAAATGTAGCTTGGGAGATGTTAGAATGCATGATTCAGTTTCGAGAGTTAGCTGTGAAGGTTTTTACCAACCAAGAGCTTCACTGTTGTTTAAATTGATCGAATGCCTTTCAATTCATGATTAGGATTGTGGGATGAGAACAGAAAGCAGTAGTGAAAATGTTATTATCCTTTAGGAAAAGAGGGGTAAACCCCCCTTGACAAAGAGTAACGAACAGATGTCTTCTAGGACACACTCAATAGAAATCATTTCATCATTAGACAGTCAGGCGGCTCTACAACTTTTGAAATTCCTAGGATCATGAAGGAATAAATACGATGAGTCACAGTGAAAATGGGAACCAATATTTCTCTGCCATGTCGAAATTTTTTGTGAACTCCATTCAATCCAAATTCGTTCAATGGAGTATCATGTACAACTGTTCATTCTTTATTTAATGTGAGCTTTGATGGTGTCCCTAAAAGTAGGCCTCTTCAGGAACGTATGAGCTCAAGAATGAAAACTTTTGACAATGTGTACCCTGTCACTCAGATGTCACAAGTGAGTAGGTTCGAAATGAATCAGATTGAACACTTAGATTGGAGAGTGTCACTCTCACTGCGGACTACTTGCTTTTCGAATGTCAAGCTCAGATATGCAAATGCTGAAATTGCTGAAACTAAACTATATACAAAGAATATTTCCTATACACCCGATTTTTTTCTGGTGAACTAGTACGTTATCTATGTCGTTATCATTCTCAAAGTTATCAGTAGAACGAAAAAATTATTGGCTCTTAATAAATAATCAAGAATGTTCTAGTCCCAAAAATCACAGTGTTGGCCCTTTTGCCAAAATTTGTTGAGTACAACAACAATTGTCATGTAACTACCAAACTGGAAATAATTTCGTCAGTGGTTTCATCGCAAATATCAAAACAACCCGCCGATTTCCGTAATTTAACGTCCAATTACTCAAACGCTCTTTGTTCGTACGTCAATTAAATTCGTCGGACGATGCTCCTTTGTGAGGATGTCACAGCTGTCTGTATCAATAATATTTGTTCGATCTGTCACAGCCGCCTTTCAACGATATAAAGATTGTCCGGTGATGTTGTGGGCCTGCATTGTACACCGAAATGAAGTATCGTATCACGATTTCCTTTAGACTATTAAACAAGATGATGAAGTATAAATTTGAACGGCGCTCTTTGTCATCTAGAGTGAGAAAGCTGGTTTGTATTGTCAGAGTTACAAAATATTTCCAACAATGAATCAACGCGTTACTTTGGACGAAGTGTTGATTACAGGGGAGGATGTGGATCGAAATATTTACTGCCTACTGTAGGTGTGAAAGTAGAAAATGATCGTGACAACAGCTCAAAAGTGGGAAGTGTATTTATTCCTGGCTATTAAGAAACAGTTGAAAGAATTTATGAAACAAAAACAATTTACAATACTTAGTGACAGTGAAATGGAAATAAATAGATCAAAAGATTCCACAATATCATTGCAATAATCTGCAAGAAGATAATCCCCATACCAACTCCCTCTTTAATTTTTCCTTTCATCAACATCCACCTCAGAAATAAAAACAATATCATT